TACAGCATTATAAAAGAAGGGCAAAAAAAGAGAACTAAATGGAAAAAATCAACTTACTTTATAATTTTATTATTGAAATAAATTATCGACTAAATATATGTATTAACTAAAACGTGCACAAAGATACGTTACTTTGGCTTTTCCCATCTTTACACGTACGAAACAATAGACATCAAAAAGTTAATGAGTACATATACTTGAAACACTATGCCCCTGTATTTTGGAATAGATTAAAATCAAATTTTTACTTAATTTTGATAAAAATTAATAAAATGCGTGATTGAAAACGTGATTCGAACTAAGCTTTAGACCCTCTTTCATATTTGATAATTGGTGAGTCTAACCCATCATTTTTTTTTTCTACCATTTTTTTTTTTTTGGGAATGCAATCCGATTTAATCATTTAAATCAAGCTACAAACATATATTACTTCTCAGTCTTAACACAAATCTCAAAATAATCCTAAATTGGCTAGATAAAAGGACTGGTATAAAATTAACAAACAATCAACCAACACAAAAACTAGAACTCAAAATGTGCAATAAGTCAAACGATTAACAATGTTAATTTCATCATAAACCTAGAAGATTAGCCTAACATGGTTGATTATAAATATACATGATAATTGATCAAAACATAACCCAGTAATTTGAGAGAAAATTTGGGTAAAACCCCCTATCTTGAATATCTTCAATGATCTTGAGCAGCTTCTTCTTCTTCGACCAACCAATGCTTTAAGAGAATTCATATAATTTTTTATCTAAGATATATGAGTTCTCTAATGAGAGTAATGCTATCATCATTGGTGTTATAACATCAGTTTATGTCACATTATCGTTAAATGAATAGTACAATTGCATGAATCACATAATTTTACTTTTAATTGAATATATCACATAATAATAGTGTTCTAAAAGGCATGTCTTAACGACGTCCAGAAGCGATGCGCAACAAAAAGTCCAAACCAAGTGACTTGGTGCCTTATTTAGCGGCCAACTGTCTAATGCGCGCCTAGATGCGATTATGAGCGCATTGTTATCTTTTTTCTTTTTATTTATTTTTTATTTTTTTAACAATTCTTTTAAGTTAAAACTTACGCTGATTTCTTCACTTTGTCTGTCCTAGATTCAAAATAGTCGTTTGAAGCCTTGAACAAAAGAAAATTTTCAAAAATTCTTATTTATTTACTAATTAGTATTTACATTTGAAACTTATCTTTTTGCTGAAATTTTGAACAAATATATAAAATTCCTATAAATCTGTTTTAGATATTTGGCACGTATTATTTTCAATTATTAAATAATTTTTTGATTGATTAAAAATTAAAATAATATTAAAATAAGAAAACGTCTTTTTACGCCCATGCCTCGCCTAAGCACGCCTAATCCATACCTTGACCTTCATGCATCGTTGCACCTTACGTCTTTTAGTACACTGCATAATACCACATAGACTAGTAATCTATCAATGTTGGTACTAGAATAACATTATTCTTCTAATGATGATGATATATATTGTGTTAACTAGGTATTGCTGCTAGGTTTGGACATGATCCGATTTGGTTCGATTCTAAAGAGAATCGAACTGAACCCGAATTATAGAGTATTTATTTAGTGGAACAGTCGAGTCCAAAATTTAATTATGAAACTGTTCGGATTTGGTTCCATTCAGATCAATTTATTTCGATTCTGTTCTATTCGATTCCTAAATTTCATATAATAATTAATTTTTTTATATTTACAGCAACGCTACATTAATTCAACTATGACATGTTTAATCTTA